TAACGAAGAGAGATGGGTAATCTGTTCTATACTGAAAAACTAAGCTGAAGCCAGCTCTACAAAATGGTACTCAAAGCAAGGGGAAAGACTTCTTGGGAAAAGAGATATTAACGATCAAACAGTGCATACATACTTTTGGGACACCCTGTATAATGATATGGTCTCTGTTATATATTAGGTCGTTCCGAAAGTTCTTTCCGTTTTTCCAACCTTTCATAAAAACACGTGGAATGAAGGTAGGGGAACGCTTCAGGCACTATCCGACGCAACTTTTCCTCCTGTTTTCGACTGTCATATTTCTGTTCCGCTTGCTCTTGTGACAGTGAGATAATGGCTGAAATTTCAAACCCATGGTTCTTATCATGTCCAAGTTTGGCAATTTTTCACAATCTTCTTTGACTTTTGGAGAAGCTTTGATAGCAACTCAGATAGAGTAAACAAAATGCAATTTAACGCAATTTTTCGGCGTCTATAGTTAGCCTTAAATTTTTTTAGAATTATATTTCTGATGCTATCAAATTCCACTTTTGGAGGTGCCGAGAGCCATAGAATATAAAACGGCGCACAACTAAGGTGTCATTCGATGCAGCTTTTCCTTCTCTTTCTAATGAATGTATTTTCTTTCCAATTTGCGGGGTCTTTGGCGATAAAGTTTCCATAATTCTTGATTTTGAACCCGCCCTAGCCTATACACGTAAAATGCGAAACCTTATATTTCCAAGCGGTAAACGCTCAGTTGCTTTGTAAAAATTATAATCGTAATTGGCTTTTGAAAGCTTCAAAAGCCGAAGATTTGTTAATGTTCGGAGCGTTTCTATATTTTGGGACTTTGCAAAAGTGAAGAGTTTTGGAAAAATTATCTCAAAAAATACTAAGAGGCCAGCCAGATATGCCAAAAAATTGCACTGTTGCACATTGTTTACTCTATCTGACTGCTATTGAAGCTTTTCCCAAACTTAAAAATGAAGATTGTGAAAAATTGCCATATTTGGACGTGGTAAAAACCATGGGTTCGAAATTTCGGCGATTATTTCAGTGATCACAAGAGTAAGCTATAAAAGAATATCACTGCTAGAAAGAGAAAGAAAAGCTGAATCGATAGGGCTTGCAGCGTTTCTCTATCTTTGCTGCAATTGTATTTATGATAGGTTGAAAAAACGGAAAGAACTTTTGGAACGACCTAATACAAAATTAGCACTTTGAGGTATATTCTAGAAAATCAATTTGATAAATCGACAAGTGAGTTCAAGAAAAAAAATTCGAAATTTGTATCAAACTTATAACTATTCGCAGACACATCCAATCCCTACCAGCTTTCCTTACAAAGTTATGTTGTTAAGTTGTTAGTTAGGGCCCGTATGCACGTACATCCCCGCGGGGAGGGGAGGTTATCTGAGAGGGGAAGCGCCATATCTCGCTGCTCTAGATATCTTTCTTCCTTCTTCTCAATCGTGCTTATAAAGGTTCTCATATCCTTATAAATGCGCGTAATAGATGCCAGGTTACTGCTATTCAAGATTAAATATTCGCTATTTCTTGCGATCCCCTGGGGATCCCCAGGGGATTATCTCACAATTTTCAAAGTCATTTATCTTCCTGTAAATCAATGAAAACGCTGCAAAATTGTGCTGAAGATATACTATGATACTGCTGAGCATGTTTTCGACAAAAGAAATGGAATCTGAAGATCTTGATTTTTTCGATAAACCCTGGCTCGCGAGCAGCGGTTCATCGAAGGTTTCGATATCTTGAGATTCCACTCATTTCGACCATGAACATGTTTAGCAGCGCTGTAGTATAAAGTACAATTTTAGAGCATTTTCAATGAGTTTTCAGAAGGATAAATAACTTTAAAGATGTGAGGTGATCCCCTGGGGATCCCCCGGGTATCAGACGAAACAATGAATATCTAATCTTGTATGGCAGTAACCTGGCATCCGTTATGCGCAAGTATCAGTGTATGAGAACCTTCAAAACCAAGACAGAGAAAGAAGAAGAACGATACATAGACTAGAGATATCAATTCCCCTCTCAGATCCCCTCCCCTCCCCGAGGGGATGTACGTGCGTGAGGGCCTAAAAAGACCAGTCATAAAACTTAGACCAAGGATGAATTGAAGTTTTAGTGACGTTTAGCAATTTTAATGACTAAAAATTGAAAAGCCTTTTTTGGATTTTTCTCTTATCCACCTTGTATCGTTGCCATACGCCTTCGAGTAACTTTGGCTTGAGCGCCTTCAAAAAGCGCAAGATTTGCTTTCTTTACTATGTTTTGAACCACAAGATTTCATCGAAGCTGGATGAAGTAACATGATTTCAAAAATTTCGTTCATATACGCATCGACCTAACATATATAACCATAGTATTGTCTGTGCGAATCTATAATTCGAACACAAATCATATGGGTGTACCTATGAAGCCGAAGTTTTGTTCCGTATAAATGAGGAAGTGAGGAAAATGAAAGTGAAGGGAAATCATTTCTCATGCAAAGTAGAATAAGGCGTAAAGATCATTTACATTGTATAGTAATGTCAGTATTATTTACAGTACTGCCTGTGCGAATCTAAAATTCGAAGAAATCTGTATAGGTAAGCCTATGAAGCCGAAATTTTCTTCCGTATAAATGAGGAAATGAGGAAAATGAAAGTAAAGGGAAAATCATTTTCCCAGTGCAAAGTAGAGGAGGCGGTAAAGACCATTTACAATTTGCGGCGGAGGCGATACGGTTTTATGCGATGGGGGCGATTAAGAGGAAAAACAATCACTGGAAAGGTACTACCAGCGTTGCAGTGCAAGTCCGGAGCAGAAATAGGAAGGAGAAAAAAGAGAGGCTACGAGGTGAAAATGAAAAAAGTTAAAGGGACGCATTGTGACTAACAAGGGAACGATACTTAGTGTCCGTGGCCTTATGAAATGAAATGTAAACCATTATATTCGTCTCGAAACGATGATTCCGAATCTGGCTTCCGTTTCTGCTGGTCGTTTCTCTGAAAGGAGTCATGAAGGATTTTCGAGCCAAGTTTGCCCGCCCGAAGGAAATACGATCGGAGTGCCAGATCCTCCGGTTGGCTGTGGGTAATGGTTAGCGCGATAGCCTCATAGGTTGATGCAGATGAAGGTTCGAATTCTTTTGTGTTTTTTAAATTCGCATTGCCTCTATCACTCTTTTTTTTGAAAGCGAGGTATCCTCGAGGTAAATGCATGCCCTTCCTCCTCAAAAAATATGGAAAATTCGTAGAAATATTACTGTTTGCCTAAATGCATTTATCTTATATATAAAGCTGAATGTCTGTTTGTCTGTCTGTCTGTCTGTCTGTATGTCTGTATGTCTGTCTGTGTGTACGTATGTTCCGAATAGAAAATTCCATTTCTGAACCGATCCGGACCAAACTTGGCACACGTACACTACGGGCCCCGGCGGGTGTCATAGGCTACTTTTCGTCATCGATCGATATCGATTTTATCGATTTTTATCGATTTTTTTGCGGAGTTCACCTACGGGGCTGGGAGTTGGCAAAGGGGGGTAAGTGAGCATGGGGATTCCGAATACAATATTAGTTTTCAGAATTATCGATTACTTTTATCGATTTCATCGATTTTTTGCAAAGTTTGAGCTACGGGGCTGGGAGTTCGGACAAGGGGGTAATCGAGCATGGGGATTCCGAATACAATATTGGCTTTCGGGATTATCGATTACTTTTATCGATTTTATCGATTTTTTGCAAAGTTTGAGCTAGGGGGCTGAGAGTTGGCACAGGGGGGTAATCGAGCATGCTGATCACCCGCAAGGGGGGTGATCAGCATGCTCGATTACACCCCTGTGCCAAATTCCAGTCCCCTAGCTCAAATTTTCAAAAAATCGATAAAATCGATAAAAGTAATCGATAATTCTGAAAACTAATATTGTATTCGGAATCCCCATGCTCACTTCCCCCCCTGTGCCAACTCCTAGCCCTGTAGGTGAACTCTGCAAAAAAATCGATAAAAATCGGTAAAATCGACATCGATCGATAACGAAAAGTGGACTGTGACACCCGCCGGGCCCGAAGTGTATGTGTGCCAAGTTTGGTCCGGATACGGCGGAGCCGGGTAAGCCAGCTAGTTAATCATAAATTGAGTAAATTTACTCGAACAAAACCAGTGGTGTGCCACAGGCTATCTTGATGAGCATCCTGGTCAATTCCAAACCCCAGTACAATACTGCTTTTCGCGTGAATTGCTGGGTAAGTGCGAGAAAACCGACTGCAAAAACTTCTGTTATCCGGTGCACTCACTGCGAGCATCTCCTGTGTTTTAATCATTTTGTCATAGATTTCCGTCGCTGTGTTTAACTTGATTTTCTACTCACTTCCATTTTGTAAGCAGCTTTCAAAATAAATATAAGAAGCACTTATATAAAAAAGGCTCTTCGTTGGTTTTTTGTTGTGTAAGAGCATGCATTACCTCGAGAATGCCTAACCTTTGAAAAGAAGATTAATTGAGACAACGCAAAACTGAAAATCCAAAAGGATTCGAACCCAGTCCTGCATCAACTTATGAGGCTATTGCTCTGACCACTACACCACAGCCTACCTACGATAAGGAAATACGGTAAGGGGTATCCTGCTATCGTATTTCCCTTGGGCGGCCACTTGGCTCGAAAATCCTCCATAACTCCTTCTTCAAAGAAACACTCAGCAGAAACGAAAGTCAGATATGGGATCAGCGTTTCGAGACGAGTATAAGGGTATACAACTCATCTCAAAAGGTCACGGACACTAAGTATCGTTCCCTTGTAAGACCTTTAAACACCATACCAAGACCATACCACGATCTGGGATGGGCCGGGGATGCCAGCTAGTTTATATATTTTTCGTTGTTACACCGTACTCTAGACAAGTGACTGTTTCAAACTCTGTAAATTGGCAATGCTTATCTTCAGAATATGTATGGTACCAATCTCACAAGCATTATGTAAGAGAAATCTTACTTTAATCTTCAAAAATGTCTTAAAAACTCACTTCACAGCCAACCATCTCTCCACTGTAAGCGCACTTATCAAAAATATAGAAGCCACGCTATTGGAACGAACCAGGTACATACGCCAAGTACATACCAGTTCTCCAAATGTGAAGGGTTGATACGCCTTGACGACTTCTAGCGGAAGACCTGTGCTAACATGGCACAATATAGAAGTTTCAAAGGTCATAGTTTTACCTATGAAAAGAAGCAGAAGGTCCGTGACCGCGAGGCTTGCAAGGTAGATGTTGGTCTGCGTATGCATGCACTGGTTGTTCCAAATTACGATGCATGTGCAAACATTGCCAACAAGCCCAACGAAAATGATTATGGAGTATGCGATACTGGTAATCACTGCAGCTGTTTCCTAAATGATAAACAATCCAACGAATTTTCTAAAGTTGATTGTGTTTATGTTTTTTTTTCGTAAACGCAGAAAATGCAAGCGTATTTTGGATATACGACATGTCAGTGCGAAACCTATTCTTAAGCAGACTTCAGGTCAAAAAATTGGCGAATTTCAGGTTGGACCAAGTTTGCCCTTTACTTTTCGTAACTGCACCTCTAAGTAATTATGCCCTGAAATTTACAATTGTTTTGAAAAAGCAGATGGAACCTCCCTAACAACAATAGAATTTCCAATTTATAGGCAATGTGAACAGTGCGCTGCGCTACTCAGATTACAGTAAGAAACAGATATGCCATTGGAACACGCATTGTCCGTCCGTTAATAAACCTTTCGTAAAACGCCGTTCTTTCCCCGAGCAGTCTATTCCAACAACAACATTCTATTGCACAAAAAAAGGAAAATTAGGAAGATGACTGGGAGACCAAAGCTTGAATCCATTTGAAAGTTCACCAAGTTTTGTTACCTTGAGCACCTCGTCGGCTAAACGTACTTGTAAGCAGCGCCTCTATAGGAATGAAGGCTGTCGTCGCCTCGGCTCTTGATTCCACCTCTCTCTTTTGCATGCAAAAAATAGTGGCTTGTGCTCAAACTCGTATTGCTAGGCTTGCTGCGAAACTGAAGTTTCACGGTCAAGATCTTATGATAAGCAAGAAGGCAGATTGCTTCGCTGCGACGTTCGACTTAAGGTGGACTTTCACAGAGTTGCTCTGATGTAAAATCAAGCGTGTAGTAAACTGAATAAATGTTGAAGTGTAGTACATCTTTGCCATTTGCTTCTTCTAGCCCATTTTTTCAAAACTATCCGCGTGTATTTCCATACCAACGCCCAGTTTTCCTTTTGCAACAGTGTGACGCTGGCATGTGAATTCATTTTTACTGGAAGCCTATTCATTACCTTTTAGTAAAAGAACCTGCGCAGTGTTTGAGCGTTATAACACAAGTGCGTAAAAATTATTGGCGTCACCTTTACTGCAGTGTCATACAATTTTATGCTTTTTTAGCAAAGCCGCGTTCAGTGATTGTGCATTATAGACAGTTCGCGCATTATATTGAAGGTGATGTTTAAATATCGAAGGTGATGTTTGAAACTTTTACCATACAATCACCCCCTCAAAAAATATTATTGCAAGAGCTCAAGGTAATCACCATACTTGCAACCAAATTGCCAATGTACTATTAAGAGCCACAAATACAATCTTGCGATAATACCGTGATTGAGCATGAGTGCAGCATTCGTTCATGTGGAGGAGGCTTTGCCCTACTGCAAAGGAGCACTGCTAACAAAGCTATTTCCTTCAAAAAAGAGGAACTAGTGTGCAAATCTCAAGTGCTTCAGCTAACAAACCGTTTTGTCTTCAACGAGAATGCTGCAAAAAAGCAGCAGTTGGGAAGAGTGTAAGTTCGTAGCGTTTTTATGAACCAACAAAATCATCAATTTACAGTAAAATTTAACCAAAACTATATTCGTCGTTGTAGCGCACGACCTTTTGGCGCCGGGTCCCAAGAAAGTCATCTAATTAGCGCTCAAACTACTTACTGAAATCGAGACAGGCACCATTCATGAGGTTTTCCAAAGAGCGAAACAAGTAATAATCTGATAGAGCGAGAATCGGAGGTAATTTGGGTACTGAAGTGCCTTCCAGTTAAATGGTGCAGCACAGTTTTGACGACGTTTGCCGTACGAGGTCATGTTTCATCATGCGGAAAAGCTCACTAAAGCTGCCTGCTAAGCCTTTTCTGCGGTAGGACCTGGTTTAGACGGTACAGTTGGATTGCTTACGGTATGGTTGCCCATCACCTATCTGTGCAGCAATTTTCAGTGCAGGACGTTCTGCCCGTCCCCCAAAAAGTCTTGTTCATGAACACCTTGCTCTGCCCCTGATCTTTTCTAGCAATCCAACCCTTTTTTGTCTCATATTGATGTGCGAGCGTCATGTTCCATAATCGACACAATCTGTGCAAAAGCGCTTCTTTTCATAATGAAAAATGCGCAAATGCCGAAATTGCTCCCTTTTGCATTTCAATATTTCCATCTTTGGAAGAGATCCGAGTAAATCAGCTTTCCACCGAAATCAGTAGGCGTACTTTAAAGAGCATAATCAGCCCTTCCAAACTATCTACGCAACTTGCCGCAAATCAACCGCTCTTCAAAGATATAAGAACGAAAATGAAAACGTTACGAACTTATGGAACGACCTAATATTAATGAGGACATTCAAAAAAAATGCCTCAAAAACATTTTATTCTTTTCTAGTGCATGTAAAATACTGATTGGTGCGGCTTTTAGCATGCTAAGCACATACCATTGCTTAATATCTGATAATTCTTTCCGAAACTAAACAAAACCACCCGTATTCTAAAAAAAATCTATCTACGGTAGACTTATCGTATCCCTAAACATATAAACTATGGTACAACTATATATTGGAAAATGTGCCCCTCTAATCTGAGTGGAATCGTACCATTGGATTCAGAATCCATAAGCTCTGAGAGATATGGCGGACATTCAGCGTACACTGCTTCGCCGCCTAACTTCGGCGATCGCTGCTTAAAGGCAGCGTCCAGGCAAAACTGGACATACGGGGTTCTTATGTGAAAAGTAATTTTTTGTAACTAAGACACTGCCCAAACAGCAGCTCAAATGGTGATCTTACAGTTGAGATACTCGCCTCCAAATTGGACCCCAAGATCGTATCCGCATGGATTCATGGTGTGACACGCGTGGGTCCTCGCGGAAAATTGATGTGTCGCGCCATGAATCCATGCGAATACGATCCCGGGGTCCAGTTTGGACGCGAATATATCAACTGTGAGCTCACCATTTGAGCTGGCCGCTTGGTCAGTGTTTAGCTAGGGCCCCAAAATTAATTTCCACTTCAGAACCCGTATGTCCAGCCTTGTCTGGACGCTGCCTTTGAGCAGCGCTCGCCAAAGTTAGGCGGCGAAGCAGTGTACGCTGAATGTCCGCCATATCTCTTAGAACTTATGGTTCTGAATCCAATGGTACGATTCCACTCAGCTTAAAGGGGCACATTTTCCAATATATAGTTGTACCATAGTTTATATGTTTAGGGATACGATAGGTATACCGTAGATAGTTAGTTTTTATGAATCAGATTTTTGTTAAGACGGAATTTATTGTCAATGGCATTGATTTACATTGATTACTGCTGATGGACTTTGCATAACATAGAGTAAAAAGTAACTGTGCACGGATCTTGGAATCCTGCTCGGCGCGGGTATTTGATGCAATGTTGCAATTTAGGTGCGATGAGGGGAGCAAGATCCCCCCAGGGCCCCTCCAAGTAAGGCGGTTTCGGCAATTCCGACCTAGAAAAGTGAAGGAGGTAACTGAGCCTTCAGGTGAATGCTGACGTAAGCTTACATGCCGAGTGGGATGGCTGCAAAGAGGGAAAATATACATGATACAGAAATGTGTTATGAAGAATTTTTCAAAGCTTTGGTTTTGAAAGGTCATCAAAGAGACACATTGTGATTCAACAAAGCTTTATGTCTCATCAATCGACATACCATTTGAAAGCTTGGAACATGTAGAATAAACGTAGACTAGCTAAGCGTCAGCTGACTTTATGCGATAACTTTGCGCTCCATCTCTAAAAGGAAGAAGAAAACTAAAATAAAAGAGGCGGTCCACATTCACTGGCAAAGTCTTGCTCTGTAACACAGTCAGACTATTAGGCGTCTTCATTCACTTTTCGCGTAGAAATTTCTTCACAAAAACGTTCACATTTCCAGTTTGATTGCTAATTATTTCCGAGCAAAGGGCGCTAGAAAAAAAGACGGTCTACGTCGAATCCCCTTTTCGTGAGTTTTGCAATCTCAGGGACTCGCGCCGTGCGGGCAGTCAGCGACGGCCTTACAAACGCTCGTTGGTGTGTGCGATTGTACGGTCGTCAAGGGCCGGTGGTACGGTTAGCGTGGGGCGCACGCACGGCTTCTAATGCTCGCCGCTTGCGCAGGGAAGATCGGCCGCTCGCTTGCTGTTGGGGTATCTTCGAATGGGATATCTCGACCATTTTCCTTAAATATGTTGATCCTGTTCATATTCTGGGACCATGGATGATGCCTGCAACATTGTCCAAACCTTTGATGGAGAAGCCCACACTAACCCTGATAAATGTAGCCTCATACAGATTCTTTCCAGTCTTGCTGGTGAAGTAAATGTTGATAATAGGACATCATAATGCTTTGGGCAACCTATGCACTGCGTCGTATCTCACGCAGGTACCATTTACGCTCACAATGTGTGAAAATTGTGAAAAGAAGAGGGAGGTCACTGTTGGCCGCTTGCACGGCAACGGCTATTGCCGGCCGATAAGACAGACACATTGCTGGCCGCTCGCTCGAGCAAATGTATTGCCGGCCGTTTGCACGGTAACGTTGGCTGCCGCTTGGATGGCGCTTCGGTTGTTTGCCGCACGCACGGAAGCTTTAGGCTCATGTCGACCGCTTGTACGCTAGCTCTTGTAGGAGGACCGCCCGCACGGCGCGAATCCCTGAGATGGTGTACTGATTGTAAAACGAAAAAGAATTGCGGTCTTCAAAACTGAGGTGGAGATATCTACTATTAGCTTGCTCCATCTCGCCACCTCAATGGCTTGTCTTTTATGGGTCGCCGGAGCAAGACTTTTCTGGAGCGAGTAAGCTCTATGCACTAATAATTTATATACCTTTCGATAGCTAAGAGCACGAGAAATTGACTAGACCGTCTCTTAATTTCTAGCTATTCTGCGAAGTGAGATATGAGGAATTTTATCCAGCTACAACATTAGCCAATTTTACGGATTTCTGCTTAATTTTGAATTGAAAAGAATTTTTCAATGCTTCGCATGTAAATGGAAAGCTCTAGAATTCAGGAACCTAAATGCTTCAAAGTCTCAAGGTTACGTTTTTCTCAGCAAACGCTCTAAAAGTGCAGTCATGTCATGCACCGACTG